TAATTATAGTCTAGCTTTCTCACTAATCGCAATGTCTACATCAAGATCTATCAAGTAAGGATCAACCAGACAGGACAGTTGGGAGGCAGGACCATTTCGGCATATAGTTTTTTTTTGAAATCCAACAACCAAGTCAACGTGACCATTCTAGACACCTCTCATTTAAGTAGATCAATCAGTATAATGACTTGGAATTAATGATAAATCTTATTTATAGGTTCATAGTAACGACTTGTGACTAAAAATATAAGTTACACTGAAAGAAATAGAGTGTAGCTTAACTTACATGGGTTCTTGATGTAAACCGGAATCTAAGTGGGTAGAATACTGACTCGGGAATTCCTATTCGATGGTTACAACTATCTAAGTATTTAGGGATGTCATTGGGCTTCGTCGCAAACCAGAAACTAAGAAATAGGCTAAAATTGAGTAAAACTCAAAAGAATCGATCTAGAACGTGTGGGGAACGAATAGAGGCTTAATAGCTATTTATAAGAAGAAAAATCGGGATGCAGGTCGCGCAAGGTCAGGTGTGTGTTGCGCACCTACTTGGGTATTACTCCTCCTCTTAGCTCTTGACACGTGTCCTACTATGTGTGGTGCAATGTGGTTGGCTTCTAGAAGGTTATGCGCACAACGCACACACGCGTGTTGTATTTCATAAATTCAAAATTACGTAACTTCTTCATACGATCTCCGTTTTTTACGTTATTTATATCCTGGTGTAGCTATCGTCGAGATCTACAACTTTTGTTTAGACTCTGTTGGCTAATTTTGACTTTATTTTTAAAGTTATCTTTTTAACAGGCTTAAACTGTTAAAGTTCGTTAAAAATTCATAACTCTCTCATATGATATCCGTTCTCGACTGTATTTATATCGACGAAATCATATAGATGAGATCTTCAACTCTCGTTTAGATTGTTTTTCCTAACAATCAACCGATCTTTTCTTTGGTTTCTAAGTCGTATACTGTTGCGTTGAAACTTCTGAAAATCCTAACTTCCTCTTACGAAGTCAGTTTAGGACGTTCTTTATATGCATTCTCACGGTTTAACGGCTACTATGACTTTCGTTTAGATCACTTAGGCTAAAAATTATTTTATCAAAAATTCACCTTTTACGATACGCAGAGCCATGTCGGTTTAATCGCGAAACTTTGAAGAATCATAATTTCTTCATACGAAGTCAGATTTTATCGTTCCTTATATGTGTGGAATCCTTGTCACACGTACTATAACTTGGTTAATATTATCTATTCCTAAATAATCTTCTATAAAAATGTCATTTTTGACTAGCCCAAATTTGCGGGTGTTACAATATGCATATGCATATACTTATTATTATGCATACACATATACTTATGAATATGCATATAGTTATTCATAAGCATATATATATATATATATATATATATATATATATATATATATATAGTTATTCTTATGCATATCTTATACATATGCATATACTTATTATTATGCTTATGCATATACTTATTCATATACATATAGTTATCCATATGCATATGTATATACTTATGAATATGCATATTTCATATACTTATTCTTATGCATATGCATATGCATATACATAAGCATAATCATATGTATTTAATTGTCTTATGCATATACTTATTCTTACATATATGCATATGCATATGCATATATTTATTCATATATATATATATATATATATATATATATATATATATGCATATGTTTACTCTTACGCATATAGAGATATTAAAAATGTTTTTTTAAATGTGTTGTGTATACATGTTTTTTTAAAATGTGCATATACAAAAAAAAAAAAAAAATTATAAACCTGAATATGCATTAAAAATTCAATTTTTTTTTGAAAAAAATTATTTTTTAAAGAACAAATTACTGAAATCATCCCTATGGTTTGGTTAAATTTGCGTGTTTGGTCCCTAACTTTTGTTTTGCATTCGGACCGTCCCTATTGTTTTATTTGGTTGCATTTTTCGTCCCTCACAGACATGAAAAGACTATATTACCCTTGATCATTTCTTTTTTGATTTTTTTTAATTATTATTAAAAATAAAAAATGTGGGCCCCTCACCTAATTATCTCTTTCCCCTCCCTCGTCATCACTCATCTCCCTCATCCCATTCCCGTCCTCTCATTTCTCACCGGGAGCCACAACCACCAACGAAGCATCACCGGAAAACCACCTAGAAACGTCACCAGAAGACGCCACCAGGAAACCACCGATCTGCATCATCAATCCCTTCTCTTCATCTTTCCGCCCCCATCTGCTCCATCCTCACTCTTCCTTCTTCGCCATCTACCTGAATAGATGGAGCATCGTGTCCGGTAAAATCCTCCAACCACCACTATCCTTCACTGAGTGTTGTTCCCATTTAACCCCATTCTTCTGAAAAATCGTATTTGATTTCAAGGATTTCATCAATTTTTTCTTTCATTGTCGTTTTCAGATTAGGTTTTGCTTTTGGGTTTTGATTCCATATTTGGATTTCATTTCAGTTTAAGTTTTGATTCGGGGATATTGGTATTTGACTTTCGTTAGGTTTTTAATTTCAGAATTTGATCTTATTATGGTTTTGATTTCTATGTTCTGGTTTTGATTTCTATGTTCAAGTTTGATTTTCAGGATTTGATGTTGGGGTGTGAATTAATGAAATCGATTATGTGGTATGTATTAGAGCTAAAATTCGGTGGATGCTAGTGATGTTGGAATCGCTTGGTGGTGGTTACTGGTGGTGGATGGTGGCTTTCAGTGGCTGGTGGTGGTTTTCAGTGACCTATGGTGGTTGTCGGTAGCTTATGGTGGTTGTGGAGCAAGTGGGAGGGACGATTTCAGTAACTATTTTTCTTTAATTAATAATTAATAAATAATAAATAAAATAGCAAAAAAATGAAAAAAGAAGAATAGAAAGGGTAATATAGTCTTTTCATCTTGGGGGAGGGACGAATATAGTCTTTTCATATCTGTTAGGGACGAAAAACGCAATCAAATAAAACAATAGGGACGGTCCGAGTGCAAAACAAAAGTTAGGGACCAAACACGCAAATTTAACTAAACCATAGGGACGATTTCAGTAATTTGTTCTTTTTTAAATATTAATTTCGAAATGTAAGGAATATTTTTGATGATTTAAAAAAATATTAAAAAAATCAAATAAGTGAAAATATACCTTATATTTCGAAATTAAGATTTTAAAAAAAAGTCAACAAAATGCATTTTAATGCATATTCATTTTTTTGGTGCATATATAGTTTTTCAACAAAATGTGCAATAATTTTTTTTCTTTTGAATTTTTTTTTCAATTCTCTTAGATATATGTATGTACATGCACATGTGAAATTTGGTACCTAAATTCATTGTAGATAAAAATTTTCTTGGTTAGCTCTGAATTTAGTTCTCCATTGATCTTGTGTGTATATATATGGGAAAATGACTCTGGAGGGTAACTAATTGTTGAGTTTGTTCTTATTTGGTTACTTTCCTTTTTTTGTACCCAATATATCATCGAACTTGTTGTTTGTGTTCATCATAACCCTTTTGACAGGCTTTTGACCGACTATCACTTGTGATAGCCGGTCAAAGGGTTATGGTGAACACAAATAACAAGTTCGATGGTATATTGGGTACAAAAAAAAGGAAATGGGCCAAATGAGGACAAACTCAAAAGTTGGTTAACCTCCTAAGTCTTTTTCCCCGAAAAGTTAAATGAAATTAAAGCTGCAAAAAGTATCAAAGACAACAACCTTCTTAGGCCATAACGTACATAAAGAGTGTTTCGGATGGGTAGCTTCGTCAAAACATGGTCTATATTATGCTTACTTTGGTTAGCTGTCAACAACTCTATGCAAAAGGATATGACTGTGTATGATAGGTATCTTTATCAGCATAAACGCTTACCTCAAGGTATATTATGGTCATGTGTCTGTAAAAGCTGCATGATCTTGTACATATTGATGTTGTATCTTATCCCATGAATTCGATCTTAAAGCCATGTAAACTAAAAAAGCACAACACTTGTGATTCCACTTGTTTGTAGACTTGTCCAAAATCCATGATATGATAAATCATTTGATTGAAAATGTTAATGTAGTCATGAAATGCACCTGCTCAATCAAGATTCCCCTAATAAATATTCAAGTGCATTACAAAGTTGTACATGTATCAATAATGTTCTTTTGTGGGTTATGTTTTGAAGAGAAGCAAGAATGAATCTCATAAAGTCATTAATATGAGCAGGAGATGTCGTGGGATTTTCTGTAAATGAGTAAGGGGAAAATGACTCAGGAGGCTAATCAATTGCTGAGTTTGTTCTCATTTGGTCTCTTTCCTTTTTTTGTACCCAATATACCATCGAACTTTTGTTTGTGTTCACCATAACTCTTTGACCGACTATCACAAGTGATAGCCAGTCAAAAGCCGGTCAGAAGGGTTATGGTGAACACAAACAATAAGTTCGATGGTATATTGGGTACAAAAAAGGAAAGTGACCAAATGAGAACAAGCCCAACAGTTAGTTACCCTCCAGAGTCATTAAACACACACACCAAATCCATGAAGTTATAGATGCCATATTTAAACATTCTTCCCGGACATTTTGGAAAGCAACCATGATGGTGCACTTTCTTTGTAAACAATGTTGGATGCACATATTTCCTTTAATAGACGATATTGCAATAAAAGATTCCTCACAATGTTGGGGAAAATTAAAGGGAGAGAAAGACAACGAGTAGGTTGGAATATGATGGTGTCGAGCGATAGAGGTGTTGTAAAAGGGGGTATTCTTCTTATAGCGTTTTTTTATGAAATCTTTCTTGGAAATGATTTCCAAATCTTTGGCCGTATGGAAGAATTCCAAATCCAGTAAACAATTGTGAGATCACAATAAATTTGAAGATCGCAAAGATGATGATGATGATGATGATGATGATATACTATTCATTCTTAAATAAGATCTCATGTGTTATTGAAACTTTAAATGAAAGTAAAGACTTAAGAAATACATTCGATACAACGACAAACATATGCTTCAACACATTTTCCTGACGTTTCATGATCTAAACAATGTTTTTTACACGAATCAGCACATGTTTGATCGTCAATCGTACCAGGTCTACATACACCGATGTAATCATTCTCGCAACATCTATCAACCCAACTCGCTCCCACAACCTTCATATTTTTATCTGAAACAACGAAACTGATCTGGATTTTATATTCAACATGCAATTTAAACATAAACTAAATACACTAAGTCGTTATATTCATTAAAAATAATAATAATAAATAAAATAAAATAAATTATGAATACAACCATATTGTTTTAAGACACTAACTCCTGTCTCCAAGTCACAAATGAAAAAAATTATATATGGGCTTTAAAATAAGGTTATGAAAAGGCTTTTCTAAACGATAAAAGATCATAGATTACCTGTGCAAAAAATGAAAAGTGCCACAAGGGCTAGCGTAAGAAATGTAAACTTTGCCATATTATTTATTATGTATAGAAATTGTTGCAAATATAAATGACAGATGTATAGATTTGTGGGAAGGGTGAAGAAATATGACAATAGTCCGCTTGTTTATATAGTGGTAAATTCAAGTTATTTTAATTAAATGTTACTTGAAACCTATAAAGTCATTTATTAATAATAATAAGTGTGGGAAACCGGTTTAAAATGCTTTCATTCCAAGATTAAATAGCATATAGAACAAATTGATTTCAACAAAGAAAATTCTTAAATGAACAATTTTGTTTCAAGGGTTTTCTATGAGTAATGCTTAAAATGCTCTGATTTCCATTTTCTTTTGTTACTGTTTAGCTTGAATCCAATCAAAATATTCAAACTTGTGAAGTTGGAGTACAAGGATCTCAAATTATAAGATCTCAAGTTATGAAATATGGCATTGTTTTGGGGGTTAGAAAATGTTGGATAAAAATAAAACCACCAAAAGAATTTTAAAAATAAAAATAAGAGATAAAGTATGCAAGATGGTTTACTTTCAGACTTTACATGAGTACATGGTGTGCGATCTCATACACACATGTCACATACAAAACCAAAAAACCTATTTCCAGGTTAAACTGAACCTGTGTTTTTGACATTTTGTGAAATAAGAACATATTTTGGACCATATGCAAATCAGACATAATAATAACAAACAAATTCAAAATGTCTCTAAATATCTAATAAAAGTTGAAACGATACACGTTAAAGATGGATCAATCTCACTCAATAATGATTCAAAATAACACATTTCATACAAACATTCAAAAAGGCAACACCAAACCCAAATGTCATGTACATCATCATCATCATATAAATATAAATTTACAATAAATAAAAAACAATTTCTGAAATATCTCGTCGATAAAACACATAAATTATATTATATAATATATATATAAGGGTGAGAGTGTTTGTTAGACTTGATAATGAGATTGAAGAGCGCCTTGAAGGTTCTGTACAGCATTGTCGTAGTTAACAAATCCCATGAACCAGAACTCATGATTATCAACAGATATGATCTGAATATACTTTTCAGCAGGATTCGCTTTGCTTTTTGAAGCATTCACTGCTTTCAGTTGATGCAAAGGAATAACCACCTGTTAATGTTATAATAATAATGATTTGGGCATTTTAGACATTTGAGTTTAACAGATTAAAGAAAAGGTATAAATGAGATGAGAGACCTTGTAATAGCTCCACTGAGTGTCTTCACCAGATTTGTATGAGAGGGGATTGTCGCTTGAGAAAGCGAGTTTTGCAGTTGACATGTAGAGGATTCCCATGACGGGGCCCGCTGAGGTGGAAAGGTAACAGGCGTATGATTTCAGGAGTTTCTCATCGGGAAGCGTTTCGAATGTTGTTCTGAAGATCTTCTCATATCCGCCTTCTGCAATCACTTTTGTTCCTTGTGCAATTCTACCCACTGCAGCATCAGCAAGACTCGGGCCCGTTTTCACTGCATATCATAAAAAATCATAAATCATAATAAGCCTTTTTGAAATAAAGATAAAGAAAAATGAAAAATCTAGGAAAAAACAAAGAAATAAAGAGGAGTTAGAAATGGTGATTGGGGTGGGGGGAAGGAAGTGTTGTCTAAATATGGGGGAAATGAAAAATTGGATGATAACGTCGAACTTTAATATTATTAAAAAAAAAAAAAAAAATACTTATGTTTTGCATTAAATGGGTCGATTGGATCTTTTATTGGTTCACCCCCACCCCCCAAAAAAAATATTAATAATAATAATACCAATAATCCTGGCATGTCCCTCCCATACTTTTATTTTTTGCCAGCTTAATTGTGTTATGTATTTATGATAACATTATATTTTCAGAACATAACAAAATTATATGATAATAAATAAACTGATATTAGAAATTTGACCACAAAATTATAACTTCAAATGGATCGACCCACATGAATCATGGATCAACCCGAAGGTATCATCAACTGATCCACTTAAACCGATCAACATGATGTTCAAGAACAGATTACATTTAGTTTGTATTTAATCAATCGCAAACTCAGGTAAAAAAACTAATTACAGCTAATTTGTTTTTTCAGTTCGCTTTTAACATTTTATTATTCCTCAATCCCCCTTTTAAAACTATCAAAAAACTGGTTGTACTTTATCTAACACTTAATATCCAAAATGCAAATACTAGCACTGATTACATACTCAGCCTATTGTGCAAACTGCAAACACAAACTTTGATGCTAACTTTTGTCACGTTTTGTTAAAGATTACAAAATTCTAATCCTATCAACAGCATACTTACCAAAAGCACAACCAAACAGAACCCACAAACTCACACTAAAAGAATTGTAAACAAGAAAGGGAAGTGTTGGCAAACAAGTTTTCAGTTTCTAACACATGCTATCATACACAATAAACCTTATCGTTTATTTGTTTTATCTATTGTGCACTTATGAATTCTTGAAAGTTTTATTAGAAGTATGCCTAAGTTTTTAGGCTCACCTATACACCTAACTTTAACTAGTAAATGTAAACTGTGGCAAGCTTTATGTTGCATGAATCTGAAACACTTAAGGAGCATACACATAACCAAACTATAGAGTTGCATTCAAACTAAATGCTTCATAGATCTAGTCAAATGATGGAAAACAACACTGATTAAGAACAGAAAACACTAAACTTACAGTGTTGCCAGACATCTCCAGCATAGTCCTGCCCCTTCTTTGTTGCCTCAGCAGCCTTCTTTCCCCATTTCCCCAGCACATCCTTCACTGTATCCATCGTTTCTGATCAAAAACACCAACGGATACACAAACAGCAAGACATCATAATACGTTTGAAGTGACCAACAAAGATCTAATCAAACAGATCATTTATAAACCTAATAGTTTCACAATCAATTGATCAGATCTTGAGGCTACATAGACGACTCAATAACTGACAACACTTAACAAAATGGATCACATGCAAACATATATATAATTAAGCACTCACTCTTCGTGGTAGAAGCCGGCACAGGACCAGGGGACACGTAAGGATTTGATTCGCTGGGCATGGTGGTTGCCCCACCACCAGGTACAGCGTTTGAACCTTGCGGCGGATCATTTGATGACCTCGCAGCAGCTGTATACATCGGTTGCCCAACAGCAGGCGGAGGCGGCGCTTCTGGTTGAGAACCAACAGGAACCGAGGTCCAGTTCTCGCCGGCAGGTGTAGCTGGAGGAGGAGCCACGTCGGTTGGGTCAATCTTAGGATAAGGAGCGTACTCGGTGGAGTAAGAATCTTCCGGCTTCTCCGTTTGCTTAGATGATTGATTCGGATCCATTGCTGTTTATATGTGTGAATCAAGGCGGAAAACCCGAAGAAATTGCTTGAACTTTGTATGAATTTGTTGGATTTTATCGATTTGCAGTTGTGCAAGCGTCTGAAGGGTTTTGGTTTATGACTTATAGGGTGGTAAGATAATTTTTGAAATGTACATATTTAGTCCTTATTCTTTTTTTTTGTAAAATAAACCCTTATACTTTATTTTTTGTAACAATGTAATCCTTGTGACCGGCTATACCCGATATACCGGTCATATACGGATTTTTTTTTAGGGAAAATGACTTGATAGGGTAACATACTTTTTGAATTGTACACATTTAGTCCTTATTCTTTTTTTTTGTAAAATAAACCCTTATATTTTATTAATATGTACACATTAGGTCATTTTCACCGGATTCTACAGCTTTTGCTGATGTGGAAGCACAAGTGGCACTAAATAGCAATTAATTAGCTTAGTCACCGGAGGTGGGTGATCCTCCAGCAACAAGAAAAGGGCGGCGACCCTTCTCTTTCTCGTCTCTCTTCCTTCCGGTCGAACAGCAACAGCCAAACACTCATTACCTGTTGTGTTTCTCCGATCTGTCTCTCTTTGCCTCCATCTTTGAGATATGTTGCCAGAAAAAGAAGAAAGAATCGACGAGGGGGCTACCAGAGCAGCTCCTCGCCGCCAACTACCGTCTCTACTTCCTCCTGCCTCCCCCTTCGACCTTGTTGTTTTTGCCATCATTCCTCCTTGCTACCAGTGATGTGTAGGAACACACAAAGGAGTCGCCAGAAATCGGGGTTCTCCCTCTTTTTCATGATGAATAAAAGTTGGAAAAATCTCGTTGTGGATATGTGGATGCAACCTGGGTATTTCATTTCAACAAAATAAAAGAAAGGGAAAATGACTTGATTGGGTAAGATACTTTTTGAAATGTACACATTTAGTCCTTATTCTTTTTTTTTGTAAAATAAACCCTTCCACGTCAGCAAAACCTGTAGAACACGGTGATGAAAAGGACCAATGTGTACATATTATAAAGTATAAGGGTTTATTCTACAAAAAAAAAATAAGGACTAAATGTGTACATTTCAAAAAGTATCTTACCCTATCAAGTCATTATCCCAAGGGTTAACGGTTGATTCCAGCGCGTATAACCGGCGTCAGTCACGTTTTACAGACCAACTCCAGCCAGGAACCCAAACAATATTCTTTAGCATCAAAAAAAAATAAGTAAAATACATAAATGGTACTTGCAGTATACTAGAAGTTTCATATTTGGTCTACATATTTCATTTATTGCACTATCATTCCCTAATTCATTTTTTTGTTGCACTTTTAGTCCCTCGTCTTAACAACCTTTGCACCATCTCACTAAATCCTCTCACGAGAGACGCACACGAGGGTAATATTGTCTTTTTATTCGTGTCTCAGCTCTTGTATGTGATTACCATCATTTCGTTTAATACCCAATAGAAAAGGGTTTCACCTTTTGTACGTTCACCCCTAAGGTTTCTCAAAAGTAGTTTCCATAAATTATTTCATTCCTTCAACAGTTGTTTGAGATTTGAAGTTTCGATCAATTAAAAAGATTGTGATTTTTTTATTATGGTTCTCAAAATATATATCGTTAGAGCATCAGACACTTAAGTAAACCTTTCAGAGAGATATGGTAACATAAGATGGTTTAC